AAAATAAACTTTCAGGAAAGGCATTAAAAATATATTTTATTATTAAAAACATATTTTTAATGATTTTCCTTAAAGTTGATTGTTAATTTTTTCCTGACAAGGACTAAAGATTTTTGTTGAAACGTCGAAAAAATAAAAATTACTGGCCAAAGTGTCTCTTATTTAAAGAAAAGCTGAAAATTGAGACAATCAAAAACTATTTCTACAGACCTTATACAGCAATTAACAGAGCAAATACAGGTAGGCATGGCTCATCAGTGGTGAACCCTCCCAGCAGTTTTGCCAGTTAAATCTCCAGACTAATATATTAGCTTATCTGAAATGAAAACATTGAAGCACAAATTTTTCTTTCACATATAAATCCAACTTCTACTGTCCTTACTGTGATTAAAAAAAAATTAGGAGGACTTGGCTCATCAGTGGTGAACCCTCCCAGCGGTTTCTCCAATTTAATCCACCAGACCGCTTCTCAGAGCTCTAATACTGTATTGGATCATTCTGCTTATATATGCTACATTAAAGGGTGGAATCTCAGAAAAATGGTATTTAGGCAAACTATGGACATAAGCTTTTAGGAGAGTAGAATTACATGAAAATATATTTTTTCATCGCAGTAAGGACAGTGGAAGTTTGATTTATACGTAAAAGAAAAATTTGTTCCTTAATGTTTTATTTTTCCATATATAGATGGTGCTTGTTTTATAATCCAATATAATGCGGCTTATGATTGTAAAACAACATTTGAAAATTAAGGTTAGAAATAATCGTTATTTCTCATTAAAAATAAATTTTGATTTTTCTTTTAAAAGAAAAACATGCGGGATAATTTTCAAATGTCATTTTACAATATAGATGGTGCAATATTGCTTTGTATTAATATTAGCAACTCCACCTTTGCCGGTCCCAAGCCTGGATGAAAAAGAAGGAGGGGGAACAGTAACAAGCTCACTAAAAAACCTGGGCTCAGTTGGCCCTGCTGATAGTACCCTGTTAGGGCTCCTGATCCAGGGATACAGGATGAGTCTGTATTGCATGTTAGGAGCAGCTGCACATGGCGTCTGTTCCTCATGTTAGAGGCAGCCATTTCTATTGGAGCTAAGTTGGCCTGCCACTGAGTAGTGCTCCCAGTCTTAATGACAAAGGCAGACACATTCTACTTCACCCACACCATCAAAAGCTCTACAAGCTTGATTGGGGAGAGCAGCCTGGAGATTGGGAGTGGAGAAACTGCTGATGTGTACCATAGGTTTGAAAAAAAAAAATCATCATTGCGGTATAATGTCTGTAGCAAAAAGTGTTTAAATATACTGTAAAACCTGTCTTGGAAGTTTCCATTTGGCTCCAAGCCAAAATGCACTTGCAAAAGAAAGGTTGAATAAAATTCGTTACAATAAACCTTAAAATTATTCTTGTTGCAGTTTCTTATCCCCTTGTGCAAAGATTACACAAATTCCACGAGTCCAAAAAGTTATTCTTATGCAAATTAAATGATTTTTTTTTTAAATGTTCATTTATGTGAAAAAATAATAATATAAAGGTCAGGTGTTGATATTAAAAATAAAAAAAGGCATAACCTGACCAGGAGTACTCCGTGACCAGGAGTACATGTGCTTTTCAGATGGCAGTGCCATCTGGTGGAACAGAAATCAACTAAACATTGATTAAGCCTGTTCCCCTTTATATGTGTACCTTTATATTATTATTTTTCACATAAATGAACATTTAAAAAAAAATCCCAAATAAAATTCGACAGGAAAACATGATGGACACTAACAATGACAAGCAATGATAAAGCACAATTTGGATTATAGATTATAATAAAAGAAAACAAGACCTAATCCAAATAATTTATTAGTGTGTGACGTTTCGGCAACAACATTGTCACCATCATCAGACAAAAGAATAAATGATAAATTATTCTTTTGTCTGATGATGGTGACAATGTTGTTGCCGAAACGTCACACACTAATAAATTATTTGGATTAGGTCTTGTTTTCTTTTAATGACAAGCAAGATTAGTGAGGACTCACCAGGTTGGGGTCACGGAGCATGTGGGGCACATCCATGTAGAGCCAGAGGGGCAGGAAGGCGAGCAGGGAGTACTTGGAGAGAAGGTAGAGGAGCCGTAGGGAGTGCATGGATGTGTCCACCAGCACCTGGCACAGGAAGATATTAGTACATAAGCTGGAGACGCCGGTCATGTAAATTTCTCTCTTTTTTGCTTATTCAGCCAGAAGATTTACATACTTGTGAATATAATTCTGTATATAAGGATGTGAAAGTTTAATAAACGTGTGTCAGTTATAAATCGGGTGTTGGTGAATTATTAGTGTCATCAGTGTGTTGTGGGCACTTTTAAGGAAGCAAATAGGCCTCAATTAGGTTGGAGACCAGAAGAAGTCTGACAAGAAGATACAGTCAAGCTCTGCCATAACTATTTATATAAGGCCAGACATATCCAGGATGCGGTAAGCTTTCCGAGCTTAGTAAGTGAGGCAGTGATCGTATCCGAAACACAAGCCATCAAGTATAAAGGGCATTTTGGCTATCTCAGAACTCCAAGAACTTTCATTCAACACCTCAAGGCGGAAAATCACGGGTAAGTGTTGAATTATAATAGGTTATGATAAAGCAAAATTTGGATTGTAGATACAGGAAAATAAGACCTAATCTTATCTATATATATAATTGCCTTATTCTGTCTGAAGCTCACGGATAGAATGCGCGCCCATTGGCTGCCGGCGAACACGTGTCCTCCCTGCCCCCCTCTAGACAACCCTGTTATCAGCTGTGTGATACATACACCTGTCTATAGCGGCCATTCTAGACAACCCTGTTATCAGCAGTGTGTTACATCCACCTGTCTATACAGACCACCCTGTCTATAGCGACCACTGACCACCCTGCCTATAGCGACCACTCTAGACAACCCTGTTATCAGCTGTGTGATACATCCACCTGTCTTTACAGACCACCCTGTATATAGCGGCCATTCTAGATAACCCTGTTATCAGCTGTGTGATACATACACCTGTCTATAGCGGCCACTCTAGACAACCCTGTTATCAGCTGTGTGATACATCCACCTGTCTATACAGTCCACCCTGTCTATAGCGGTCACTTTAGGCAACCCTGTTATCATCAGTGTGTTACATTCACCTGTCTATACAGACCACCCTGTCTATAGCGGTCCCTTTAGGCAACCCTGTTATCAGCAGTGTGATACATACACCTGTCTATACAGACCACCCTGTCTATAGCGGCCACTCTAGACAACCCTGTTATCAGCTGTGTGATATATACACCTGTCTATACAGACCACCCTGTCTATAGCGACCACCCAAGACAACATTTTTAAAATATATTCGCACTCGGGTAAAACCCGGGCTTTGCCCGGGCCATTCGTCTAGTAGATTATATATAGTGAATAACGACTCACTATTAAATTATTTGGATTAGGTCTTATTTTTCTTGATATTTATAATAGGTTAAATTAGAGAAAATAGCCTGATTGGATGATGAGGCACAGTTTGGATTATAGATTAGAAACATAAGTTAATAAAACTATATCCAAATATATAACTAGTGCATTTTACACACTATTTATTTGAATTAGGTCTTTTTACCTTGTGTTTCTATCCTGATTGGAATTTGAAAAATGATTGAATTGAAGTAAGTGTATTGTCCTTTTACAGAGAGGTTCTGCTTCAGAAGTTCTTTAACATCATATTGTCTTGTTTAATAATGTGTCAACAGCCTGGGTATGATTACATCTTGTATGAAGAAACAACACCAGTAAATTAAACATAAGGTAACAAAACCAAATCCAAATAAATAAATAGTGTGTTTGACGTTTCGGTAACAGCGTTGTTACCATCTTCAGACAAAAGTGCTTAATGAGAAAAAATATGACAGTATGTTTTAAATAGTTACTGTTATCAAGTGTGTAAACAAGATAGAAGTATCTTCTTGTCTGCTATCTTGTTTACACACTTGATAACAGTAACTATTTAAAACATACTGTTGAGCTCTACTCAACCCCGGCAGACACCATCAAAAGTCTCAAGCTTTACAAGCTTGATACCCTAATATAATTGATTGGAGATAAGAAAGAAGAAGAAGAAAACATACTGAGATATTTTTTCTCATTCAGCACTTTTGTCTGAAGATGGTAACAACTCTGTACCCGAATTATCACAGACTTTATTTTATTGGACTTGGTCTTATTACCTTGTGTTTATAAATCTATAATCCAAAATTGTGCCTTATCAACACCAGTAAATTGTGTACTATTGTTACCAAGGCTTCAAGCATATTACACCTTATCAACTTGAATGGAGTAAATCCATCAATTTGGCTTTGGTGGAAGCTTGAGCTGGACCTGCATTTCTTATACTGTTAAACCTGACTATAGCGCCCCTTCTTGGGACTCACCAAAATAGGGTGCTATAGAGCGGGGGTGCTATAGACAGGTCACTTTTAATGTAAATCGCATCATACTAGGTATTTAAAATCGGGTGCTATAGAGAGGGAGGCTCTATTTAGAGAGGGCGCTATAGACAGGTTTAACTGTATTTACTGCTATGAACTTGAAGCAGACTTGTGTGTGAATATTAATATGAAATAGTATTGATTAAACACAGACATGATATTACATTGTGTAGACATGAAACACACCACAAATCCAGACAACAAATCCAAATAAATAAATAACATGTAACATTTTGGTCACAGAATTGTTACCATCATCAGACAAAAGTATTGATTGATGATGGTAACAAAGCTGTTACCAGAAATGTCAAACACTATATATTTATATGGTCTTGTTACCTTGTGTTTCTAATCTATAATCCAAATTGTATCAACTCACAGTGTAGATGTGTGGTGAACATCTGGGATCATCTACCGACACTCTCCCATACACAAGTCAGGAAAGGAACCATTCAGGAGGAGGGAAGAAATGAGTTTTTTTTTTTTACTTATCCTAAAAAAAAAAAAGAAGGTTCCATCGAGATTTGAACTCGGATTGCTGAGAGTCCAGAGTGCTAACCATTACACCATGGAACCACAAGAAATGAGTGAACCAAGACAATGATAATCTTCCTGTCTCTATATATATAAAAGTCAATGTCTGTCTGTTTCGCGATAAACTCAAAAACTACTGAACCAATTGGTACCAAATTTTACATGTCGCTTTTTATAAACCTGAGGAAAATTTTCGGCTACATTTTGATTATTATTTTTGGCTATTTCTTTTTTCATTTGAAGAACTTTTTTTTACGCGGAGTAATCCGGAATGGAATGAATACCCAAATATAGCCATTTTTTATAAGCATCGGTGGTTCAGTGGTAGAATGCTTGCCTGCTACGCGGGTGGCCTGGGTTCGATTCCCGGCAGATGCATTTTTTTTAACAATTTTTAAAACTCATTTATATTATATATAATATAAATATATATTATTATTTCAACTATATTAATTAAATCAAATACCTAAACACTAATATAATACAATTTTTGCTATCACACACACTTTTTTCCTGTAGATTATGTGTTACTTTTGTATTGCTATTCTATGGCACTTCTACCATTTATTATTGATGTACTTTCAGTATGAAGGAAATTGCAATCAGGGGAATTCTCGGGCAAAGCCGGGTCATACGTCTAGTTTTCTATAGAAGAAGAAACACAGGTCAGGGAGATGAGTTTCTTTATATAACAAAATGATCGTACAAGATTTCGGGCAAGAGGAGTACAGGTACTTTATCTTTTTTTTTAATATGGAGGGAGCAATGTGTGTTAATTCATTTGAATAAAGTCCCTGTCTGTACCTGTTGAAGGGCATCTTTCCTGAAAAATTGTATGATCATTTTCTTCTAGCATCTGCTTCCATGTTAGGAACAGCCTCAAAATACAGGCAAAGTCTGGCCTTCACCAAAATGTGCCATGATCAATGAAAGCTGCACCCCTACACCTCACTCATGTGGAATTGGTGTAATCTTTACAAAAGGGGATAAGAAACAACAACAACAGCTTTTCTCCCCAACCTGTGTTTTTTTTTTTCTATAAAGGAGTGAATGGCAAGTTGGCTGTCAACTGGAGAGATAGGAACAAATGCTATAAACACTTGGAGATAAGATGTTCCTCTTCTTTGCCATCATCCTGTCTGGATTGTGGTGTACACCACTGTGTAAAATATCTTGTCCACTGAATTGTGTGCTGAATTTGTACAACGCAAGAACATACTTTACAGCTTGTTCCATCATTATTTACCTATGGTGCACTTGATTCTATGTTGACATTTCTTTTAACATAAATTCGGATATACAGTAGAACCTCTCTATAAAGAATATCTAATTGCAGAGCCAAAGTTTTCCTTTAGAGAGAGGTGTCCTCTTACCGGAGAAGATCAAAAATAGTAAAAATGATAATTTTGTAAATAAAAACTGTCCTTTGTAGAGAGGTGTCCTCTAGCAGGAGTGTTCTCTAATGGAGGTTCAACTGTATATTGTGGCAACACACCAGAGAAACTCTCAAAACATATTAAGTGGGGCTCCCTGATGTAAGCCATAGAGTAGGAAAAACACAAGGTAATAAGACCAAATCCAAATAAATAAATAAATAGTGTGTGACGTTTCGGTAACAGCGTTGTTACCATCTTCAGACAAAAGTACTGAATCTGTATTTCAGTACTAATTCTCAGTCTAATTCAGTACTTTTGTCTGAAGATGGTAACAACGCTGTTACCGAAACATCACATACTATTTATTTATTTGGATTTGGTCTTATTACCTTGTGTGGTTTATAATCTATAATCCAAATTGTGCCTTACCATAGAGTAGGATAAATCCTCAGACTGGAAATAATTGCTAGTATACAAGATGTGTGCATGCGGTACAGGACACCAATAGAGAAATGCCTAGTAATGGAAGAATACCACCAATCCAGTATTTCTCCCAAGGTCTGGTGGGGAGCCAAATATTAAAATTAGTGTTAAAAAAAAAATACTAGTAAAAATCAAGTAAAACACTGCAATAGGGGAGGAGAGTGCAATAAATGTTTGTCAACCCTGTGTTTATTGATGATGCTACTGGGTTATCAGAAGACCAGCTGTGAGATAATTTATCTCTTTGACACAACCCTCTCTTGCCGGAAGTTTCCACAGTGTGACTCACACTGTATCTGCTTTGAGGAACATTTGGTAGAATTAGCTTATATCATCATGATAGTAAAAAATGGTAATTTTCTAAATAAAAACTGTCCTTTGGAGAGAGGTGTCCTTTAGTAGGAGTGTTCTCTTGTGAAGGTTCTACTGTATATTGTGGCAAAACACCAGGTAAACTCTCAAAACGCATAAAGTAGGACTCCCTGATATATCAGCTTTACAAGCTCTGATACCTTAATATGATTGAGTGGAGATAAGAAAGAAGAAGAAGCTTATATCATGAGCATATATACACTCATGGTCAAAACGTGAGGAAGTTGTTCCTTTTAGCATGTACAGTAGAACCTCTTTGAGAGGACGCTCACACTAGAGGAGACCTCTCTACAAAGGACAGTTTTCATTTGCAAAATTACCATTTTTTTACAATTTAGCAACTCTCATGGTAAGAAGACACCTCTCTATAAAGCACATTTTATCTCTGCAATTAGGTGTCCATTACAGGGAGGTTTTACTGTATATCGGGATAATAACTCTGAAAGATATTTGATATACAGTAATCTTTTATTGTGTGAAGACACACATGATAACTAAGTGTGAACAAAATTGCCTCTGTCTTCTTAAAAAAAAAAATAGATAGCCAGAGATATCAAAGACTTTTCACTTCCTTTATTTGCTACCTTTAAGTTTTGTCCATGGGTGTAGAGCAGTAAATACTTTTTATTGAATGTCTCTGCAATTGAAAAAGATTGGTTTTATTACGATTTTATTATGGATCCAGGAAATTAAGTTTTTCTTTAGGTTTGTCCACAAGTGTAACTGTAGGGGACATGTAAAAATTATTGTTTTGTATTTCTATTTTATGTAAATTTTATTTGCTTTTAAAAATTCATATTTGTTTGTTGCACATATGCAAAATTTTTATTAACTATATTTTTTCTATTTAATTGAATTCATTCTTTTTCTTCTTATTCTTTTGGTTGTCTGAATATAATAGCAATATCGAGGTGTAGCCATAGTGATTGCAATAAAAAGGCTTGATTTTATAAGGTAAATGTTTTATGTGGATTGTCGTTAAATAACCACCACATAACTATACTACTGACTTATTGAGATACCTGTGTAGATTCTGTGGCTGGAAGCAGGTACAATGTCACCCAGTGTATGCAGTATCTACAGAATGAAGGCAACTGGATCCTCCACTACAGTAGTGCGAGGAAGAACAATGCTAACAACACTGGAGCAAAAAGATCACAGCATGTTCTTAAATAGTACTGTTGTTGTTGTCGTGTCCAATGAAGAGCTTCAAATGTCCCCATACATCTCTATCACAGCAATATCCACTATCTTGGGTGTGTAAAGCTGCTGCTCTGGGTCTATGTCAATTTTCTGTTGTTGCTGCTGTTGTCGTGTCCAATGAAGAGCTTCAGATGTCTCCATGCATCTCTATCACAGCAATATCCACTATCTTGGGTGTGTAAAGCTGCTGCTCTGGGTCTATGTCAATTTTCTGTTGTTGCTGCTGTTGTCGTGTCCAATGAAGAGCTTCAAATGTCCCCATACATCTCTATCACAGCAATATCCACTATCTTGGGTGTGTAAAGCTGCTGCTCTGGGTCTATGTCAATTTTCTGTTGTTGCTGCTGTTGTCGTGTCCAATGAAGAGCTTCAAAGGTCCCCATACATCTCTATCACAGCAATATCCACTATCTTGGGTGTGTAAAGCTGCTGCTCTGGGTCTATGTCAATTTTCTGTTGTTGCTGCTGTTGTCGTGTCCAATGAAGAGCTTCAGATGTCTCCATGCATCTCTATCACAGCAATATCCACTATCTTGGGTGTGTAAAGCTGCTGCTCTGGGTCTATGTCAATTTTCTGTTGTTGCTGATGTTGTCGTGTCCAATGAAGAGCTTCAGATGTCTCCATGCATCTCTATCACAGCAATATCCACTATCTTGGGTGTGTAAAGCTGCTGCTCTGGGTCTATGTCAATTTTCTGTTGTTGCTGCTGTTGTCGTGTCCAATGAAGAGCTTCAAATGTCCCCATACATCTCTATCACAGCAATATCCACTATCTTGGGTGTGTAAAGCTGCTGCTCTGGGTCTATGTCAATTTTCTGTTGTTGCTGCTGTTGTCGTGTCCAATGAAGAGCTTCAGATGTCTCCATGCATCTCTATCACAGCAATATCCACTATCTTGGGTGTGTAAAGCTGCTGCTCTGGGTCTATGTCAATTTTCTGTTGTTGCTGCTGTTGTCGTGTCCAATGAAGAGCTTCAGATGTCTCCATACATCTCTATCACAGCAATATCCACTATCTTGGGTGTGTAAAGCTGCTGCTCTGGGCCTATGTCAATTTTCTGTTGTTGCTGCTGTTGTCGTGTCCAATGAAGAGCTTCAGATGTCTCCATGCATCTCTATCACAGCAATATCCACTATCTTGGGTGTGTAAAGCTGCTGCTCTGGGTCTATGTCAATTTTCTGTTGTTGCTGTTGTTGTCGTGTCCAATGAAGAGCTTCAGATGTCTCCATACATCTCTATCACAGCAATGTCCACTATCTTGGGTGCGTAAAGCTGCTGCTCTGGGTCTATGTCAATTTTCTGTTGTTGTCGTGTCCAATGAAGAGCCTCAGATTTCTCCATGCATCTCTATCACAGCAATGTCCACTATCTTGGGTGTGTAAAGCTGCTGCTCTGGGTCTATGTCAATTTTCTGTTGTTGCTGTTGTTGTCGTGTCCAATGAAGAGCTTCAGATGTCTCCATACATCTCTATCACAGCAATGTCCACTATCTTGGGTGCGTAAAGCTGCTGCTCTGGGTCTATGTCAATTTTCTGTTGTTGTCGTGTCCAATGAAGAGCCTCAGATTTCTCCATGCATCTCCATCACAGCAGCAGCAATATCCACTA